GAAAAAGACAGACAGACAGGGAGCCTATAATAAGAACGAGAAAGTGAAAGACAGCTATTGAATTACCATGCACTAGTTTATGGAGAAAGTAATACTGAAAAAAAAAATTCTTCACGTTTTGAAGTAGGCCACTATGATTACAAATTAGTACACTGTGTACCATATACACTATGCGAAATTTCTGTACTGTTACCTCGGACGTTTCAGTGGCATGCCCTCGGCTTCCTAGGATATTCCACGGTGCCTCCTACCTCATCCCAGTGTTGTCCCCCTCGGCTATTTCAGCCTTGCTATCTTAGCCATTCCACTGTATGATTCATTTATCTTTATTCTATACACACTTGAGTGAATTCACTGAAGACGAGTAAACCAGATGACGTCACCATACTCAGATAGTCTGCACGTGCGAAATTGTACAATCTTAGCAAGTACACTTAAACCCTGACAACTCATCCATCTTTTTTTCTTGATATTCATGAAAATTATTTGAAGAGATTGTAACTAAGCTTCCATATACAGGGTCAAAGGAAAGTTCCTCGATTTCAGGAGTTTCATTTGGTCATTGCAGGGTAAACAGGACATTGGGAGGATTCTGACCGAGCACGTTGCGTGGCACGACTTGGTTTGCTTGGGAAAAGTACTACACAATGATACTCTTTGTCTTGCCTTTGTTTCCCTCTTTTTTATAATCTGCGAAGGTGTACGAAAACATCTGTGTATCATACATACATACATACATATATATATATATATATATATATATATATATATATATATATATATATATATATATATATATATATGTATATATATATATATATATATATATATATATATATATATATATATGTATATATATATATATATATATATATATATATATATATATATATATATATATATATATATATATATATATATACATATATATATATGGTTTCGAAACAATGTATATAGCCGATTTTATCACGGCAATCTTTGTAGTTGGGAAGTATATGATAATTGAAGGGAGATCAACTCTTGTATACTTTATTTTTCCATCTACATTTCGCACCTGCACGAACATGCAGCCAGAAGAAAGCCGATGAGTGGGTTCCTCTTTTCTTTATATCACAGTAGTGTGCAAGTATGAATTATGTAATACATATCTTCTCACTTTTGCATTCTTTGTAGGATGATACTTCTTTTGTGATTTTAACAGTTAACATATTTACTGCCTTTATTTTATAAATTCCATCAGAACTTTTCGTATACCATTCATATTCATATAAAACCAGTGAAATATTATTGTCCTGTATCATACTGCATTCTATAGGTTTGCGAGTAGTTGAGTGGCTAACGGTTCAATCTGAGGTTGCACTGCAGTGAGCAGCAAAGCTGTACGTATCAAACCCGGTGCTTAATCGATGTCACAGTGTGGGCGGCGGGCGCGAGGCATCTCAACTACCAAGTCGTCGCGGCAGGGAAGGTGATCAGACAAAGCGTGGTTCTTTGTGCAATGGAAGAAGCTAGTATCGGTAAAGAGCATATTACGTTTTTCGAGACTGTGGATTATCAGGTGGCAATTTTGCGTCTACGATTAATCACTTTGGTTTCGGCTTCCCATGCTGTACACTGGCACTCGTTCAATGGAATGACGGACACAGTTCATATGTATTTCACATTGGCTTCTTCATCTTATAAATCTGCTAGATGGAACTGGAGAAGTATGAGTAGGTAGCTTGTGGATGCCCCCGCTACCTGGAAATAATCACCAAACAAGTGTATATTGCATTAAGGTTTTGAGAAATGCATTTCAGACTAGCCAAAGTGACTATCTAGAAAATAATATCGCCTAAGGGATTCGCATTACCAACACAGACAGTGCTTGTATTAAGCTAGATGTGGCATTGCATTAGCAGATGTAGCTACTTCTTAGAGTGATACAGACCAAACTTATTTCGACCTAGGATACGTACTGCAAGGGTATTCCTCCGAGACAGCGTGAAGAGACCGCACACCCGAGTTCCTAGGCCTTTGCGGCTCAACCTCTCCATCGACATGATCTGGAGGAAAGTGCGATTGTAAAAAAAACAACAACGGAGGGTAGAACAGGGAACATGTCGAAGGATCTGCTTCTTCGGGGCAGCCCCTTCGTTGTTTCATTTTATCGATACACATGAATTCTGAACAATTGTGATTTGTGTCTTCTCTTATAAGACCATTCCAGTGTAATATTTTGTAAAATATTTAAATGACATTTGGCACACAACTTACTAAAATCGTCTGTTTTGCCTTTGGAGGAAGAGGGGCGCGTCCGGTCGCTGCTTCGGCAATTTCCATAAGGATGTGGCTGGTTTTCTGGCCCTGTAAGCACAACAGGAATACACATATATGAGTACATCTCTCGTGTGTTCGTGTGCGTGTGTGTGTGTGTGTGTGTGTGTGTGTGTGTGTGTGTGTGTGTGTGTGTGTGTGTGTGTGTGTGTGTGTGTGTGTGTGTTCGTGTGCTTGTGCGTGTGTGTGTGTGTGTGTGTGTGTGTTCGTGTGCTTGTGCGTGTGTGAATATGCATGTGTGTGTGTGTGTATGTATGTGCGTACGTACATATGATTTGGTTACTGCCTCTCTCTGTAGCTCCACTTACCTCGGCAATGATGGAGTCTGCGACCTGTCCTTGGATCCACAGTATGATAATCTGCAGGGTACACTGGGTCATAGTTAATATCTGGAACCGATAGAAAAAGAAAGAAAAAAAAATAAACATGCCATTCTCATTACACATGTGTTGCATTGCAGCGATATTCTACATATCAAACTGACCTTGAAGACTACGCTGACGTCGAGTGCAATCCCGTGGAAGAGGCAGATGATGGTGGCGCTGAAGGTGTAGAAACTTGAGATCAAGAGAGGCCCCGCCATCACCGCTTCCACTTCTCGCAGGACCTGCTGTAACTGCTGATATCTCTTTCTCATATAAGCTAAATTGGCATGAACTTTTTGATAACTGGAGGATGCGTCACTTGCATCACTCCTCTCTGCCTGATTGCAAAACTTGGTGTCCCCGTCGCCCCTCTCCTGGCACTCAGAGCCGTCCTTCGCCTCTTGGCTCCGGGCGGCGATCACCACGATGACGCCGGCCCCTGGCTCGGCGGCGGGAGGCTTCGCGGCTCGGGCCACGCGGGGGTCTGCCCGAGCTGCGTCCTCAATGGCACGGTTGAAATGCGCAAATTGGTGTTGCAGTGCGGTTCCGATGGCAACCCACATAATCTGGAGATGTTATTTGATATTGCTATATGACGCAGATTGTGTATACACACACACACACACACAGACATATATATATATACATACATATATATATATATATATATATATATATATATATATATATATATATATATATATATATATATATATATACATATATATATATATATATATATATATATATATATATATATATATATATATATATATATATATATATATATATGTATGTATGTATGTATGTATGTATGTATGTGAATATGTGCACCTAACAATGAACCAGGCAGATACATTCTATATAGATATGGTTACGGCGCACCCGGTATGCGATGCGCGAGGACACCGCCGTACACTCGCGAGAAATGGACGACAGCTACCGTATCATGAGCGGGTATGGCTAAAGAAGATAGCTCAAAGGAGGAAGAAGAAGATAGTGGGCGAAATGACGGAGGTGAGGACAGGAACACTGAATGTGAGGAGCATGACAGGCAGAGGCCACGAGCTGGTGGACCTGATGGAGAGGAGGAAAGTGAAGGTCATGTGCATGCAGGAGACGAAGTGGAAGGGAAGCAAGGCCAGAGAGCTGGGAAATGGATTCAAACTGTTCTTTGTCGGAGAAGACGGAAGAAGAAACGGGGTCGGCATTTTCCTGTGGGATGACCTCAAGAAGGAAGTACTAGAAGTGAGGAGACCTTCAGATCGAATCATCTGGATGAAGGTGGAGGTGGGAAAACAGGTGATGAATATCATGAGCGCATACGCCCCACAGCAAGGATGCACAGACGAAGAAAAAGAAAAGTTCTGGGAAGAATTGGACGAGAAAGTTCGAAGAGAAGCTTTGGATTGGTGGAGACTTCAATGGTCACGTGGGCAGTGACAACACAGAACTCAAAGGACATCTATCAGGCGAAGTTGATAAAGAGTGAGGAGGGAAATGTGCTGGTTAAGGACGAAGAGATCCTGGAGAGGTGGCAGACGCATTTCATGGAACTCTTGAATGAAGAAAACCCTAGGGAAGCACGGGAGGAGGAACAAGCAGAGAACCTGAAAGTGGTGGAGGCCATCACGGAAGACGAGGTAAAGAGAGCGCTCAGGAATGTGAAAAACGGGAAGGCGGTGGGTCCCGACAACTTGCCCATAGAAGTCTGGAAGTGCCTGGGGGAGAATGAATAACTTTCCTGTGCGAATCACTCAAAAAGATATGCGAGGAATAGGAGATGCTAGAGTCATGGCGGCGGAGCACCCTCATCTCTGTCTACAAGAATAAAGGTGACAATATGTCATGTGGAAACTACCGTGGCATCAAACTCATGAGCCACACCATGAAATTATTTGAGCGCACGATTGAACACAGGCTGAGAAGACTGGTCAATATCATCAAAGAGCAGTTTGGATTCATGGAGGGGAAGTCGACTACGGATGCCATTTTTGCCATGAGACAAGTGCAGGAGAAGTACAGGGAGACCCATAATGAGCTGCATGGCGTTTTCATTGATCTGGAAAAGGCCTACGATAGAGTGCCGCGGCAGGAGCTGTACTGGTGCATGCGAGAAAAGAACATTCCAGAGAAGTACATTAGCATAGTTAAAGACATGTACAAGGAGAGTGAGACAATGGTGAGGTGCATGTCAGGAACAACAGAGCCTTTTAAGGTGGAGGTGGGGCTGCACCAGGGGTCAGCACTGAGCACATTCCTGTTTGCCATCATCTGGATACCCTCACAGACAGTATCAGGAAGGAAGCTCCATGGAGC